AATTGTATAGGCCAATGTTAAACAAGTCATAGTTTATAAAATTTCTCTAACTCAAAACAACATGCAACATCTCTATATAATGTACAACACCACACCAGTTATATATCCGCGTAAATATACTTTTTTAAAGTCTCATAGCCAAAGCCAATTTCATTAAAATGTTCTAAGCAAAACAAAAATATATTTATTACTAGTCTTATTTTATAAGAAGACACTAAAATACTTTTATTACTAGTATTGGGTATTATATGAAGTGAAATACTTTAATTAAAAAATAGAATATATGTTGAGGTGTGTTGGTGCTCGGGCCATTGCAGCTTAACTTCAGCTGAGGAATCAGGAAATGGAGATCAATGCAACAATTTAAATATCTATATATCCGTATATGCTCATGAAACCATAAAACAATTCGTTTAGATATATATCAAAGCAAAAGAATAAACAATTTACTAACGATCTTATACAAAGATGACCAGCATCCATAACTATGAACATACCAACACAGAACAACCTGATTTTTTTTTGTCTACGTAGATTTTTCTTATCTGGTTATAAGAAAATAATTTTAAAATTTTATCATTTCAAAGGCTATTGGATTGGGTTAATTTGTTACTCATCTTTTCATATATAACAGAGATCGGCACACTCTTTGAATTCTATATATGTTGTAGTATGTAAAAACGTTTAATTTGCTTAGGTATACATTTTAGTTTTCTTTTCAACCCAAAAAAAAAAACACAAGTTATTTTCTTTCAAACACAAGTTATTAGAAAATATTATTGGCGTCATGGAGGAACCCTAGATTTCAGTGGGATGCTCAAACAGCAATCAATTTGACATGTGTTTTACATATTGGGACCACTACTACGACACAAGCGAATGAAAACCTTAAAAGCTCAACAAAAGTACTTCCAACTTTTTTTTTATATATTGGAAAATAAATATTGTATTTTCTTTGTACCCAAGAAATTCCATAACTTAATTTATCAACGTTTGGATGTATATTTTCTTCTAATCATAAATCAAGATATGTTCTAAATATTTGTATCTTTCTAGAAAAAGATTTGTATATATTTAAAACAAACCGTAAAAAATAATCATGTATATATATAGTTTTAAACCACACGGTTTCAAACCAAAATATTAAATTTGTCATTATATTGAATATATGGATACAAATATTAAATATTTCAGAAATTGAGCTTATTCTTAATTTATACGAAAGTAAGACAAAAAGGAAATGAAATTAGAAAGAGGCAGATAGCTACACATGAAATCATCCTCTATACAGTTTAAAAATGAGCATGACACACAATATGTGAAGTTAGCACTTAGCACAAAGTGCGGAGAAGTGATCTCATCCATCAATTTCCTAAGCTGCCACTTTCACTTGTACTGGATGATTAAAACAGATGTACGTGCGCGTCTCGTTTATCTTTTGAATTCCAAATGCTCATATAGTAATTATTTTAGAGTCAAATATATATTATATAGATATATTTGCGTCATATATATATGTCGTACATGTTAGCTAGGAGCAATTATTTATGGGGGGGTGGGGGAGTGATGGATGAGTGATCCATACCGAGTAGTAGTACTGAGGCGATAAGTGTTTGATTGTTTTAATAAATAAGAGGAGAGTTTTAAAAGTGTTTCTATTTTTGGTTTTCATCTTCCTTCCGGAATCAATCGTTTGCTTCTTATGCTACACCCCAATTTGTCCCTCACCAAAACTGACAAGAAAATGTACGACCACTACTTGTTAGCTTGAAAGCTAATCATATCACCTTAATTGAGTTATTCATTCCTCATATAGTGCTTTTAACATCTACTTAGCTCCAAGATATCGTGCGGATGTGCTATTATGACATTTCAAGATGTGAGAAAATTGACATATATGTACAACTATATATTATATATGAATTTACAAATTAAATTATTTTTCATGATACACGATTCACCGTGATTGAATTTGAAGCAATATGTTAAACAAATATTATATATAAATATGGCTAGCTAAACGACGACCAAGAAATTAAAGACTTTGCTTTATGGAACTCACTGATCGAATGCTTTGATATTATAGATGATACTTGTATAGCCTATCATTATATTTTATATGTTGGGAGTGATGCATTAAATGAAAGGTACATAGAGAGGGAGCAAGAGAAATGGGTTATAGGAAAGAGAGGTTGTAAGATTGTAAGCTAAAATTGCGCTCATTTTTTGCAGTCTCACTAAATGCTCTCTCCCCCATTAGTAAATACACCCAACATGCCTTCTCTTCAATGCCCTAATTTCCCTTCACATGCAAATTTCCCCAATTTCCACTCCTGTTTTTGTTATCCTTGTTTTCTTGTTTATTATTAGGTTTTATAAAAAAAAATTTGTTTATTACCAAAACAAAATGCGTAATCTTCTTTTAATAACTACAAATCCAATATTTTCTTCTCTTCAACCATTCTACCAAACTTGACAAAGACTATAATATGACTATGAATAGATCAAAACAATTGCTTTTTTTTTTTGCATGTACTAAATATTCATCTCCCGGATATTATCAAATTTACAATTACAATGCATCAAATATAGTTTCATCATTAAATTAGACAATAATACAATATAATTTATAAGCACAGTTTAAAAAATCCATACGTAGCGCACACACTAGTCTAGTTCCTATAAAAAATGAAATGCCAAGTACATGCTAAGCCGTGCGTAGTATTCTAGAATTAAAAAAAAAGTTTCTAATTCAATAAATTTTTGGGGAGTATAGTATAGCTTATCTTCAAAACATGATATATTGAACTATTGAAGACTCAGATAAAGAGGATTGGCATTCCTCTTGTTCTTCGAATGCATTTGTTCAAATTTATTGCATCCATATTGATGTTCACGACTTGTTTTGTAAATTTCTAAAAATCTTGGACGATGTGAGACAAGCCTCCGATTTACTACTCAGCCAAAACGATTATACAGGCTGAAGGTCAAGTTAGATTGTTGAACAACTTGAATAGCGAGTCGGTGGCAAAGATGGCAGTGGATGGTAGCTGACACTACAAAGATCGCCATCACGATGTCAACATGCATTCATATATGTTTCCATATGTTTGAATGCACCATGTATTATAATTGATACTATGATACTTTAAAGTAGTTCTTTTTATGATAATATTCTTACATGACTCGATTCTAGCTAGTATATAACACTAGGATTTTACGTATTTTGTCGTAGACTTAATATATACGTGCAAACAATTCATTGCAGAATATAGAAATGTTAAGTATCTGATGAATCTTTGATGTTGTGCATCTTAAATTCTTAAGGCGTTTACTTAGTTGTTGACCAAAGATGGAGAAAATAAATTTGTTAAATTAATCTCATCGGGAATAAGTGAAACGTATATGAAAAGCCTATGAATCAGTGACCACTAATCTCACACGTGTATAATGAACTATAGAACAAGCTTGTTTATTTGTGTGTACGTTAAACATCAATTTCCTAAGTAAGAGAGATTAGTTTCGAGAAACATCCTCTTATAGGATCGAGAGTAGTCCAAAGAAAATAGAATTCCTAGCAACATTCTCTCAAGTTTACTTGTATGACATTCTATAATAAAAAATGTCAAATGACATAACTAATATATAAAGCTTACATTATTCTAATATTGTTTGGATTAATTAACAGAACTAGTAAAAAAATCCTCTAATGCATTGGGATTAGAATTTAGAGGGGTTTAACGAATGAGAATGTTTAGAGTATTATTGTTTTCTAATACTTGGGACTAGATCACAAACATAGTGATATTAATATATATATTACCTGATACAAACAACCAAGTCATTTGATAATGTGAGTCAAATATATCACTATATTGCGACAACATGCTGAAGTATTGTAGCCCACATACAACCCACATACAACCCACATACAACCTACGAAAATGTAGAAGATCAATGTTTGGGGTAAAACTAATTAGAACGATTCAGACACAAACCTCATTTCACTCTAGTATGTCACTTAAGACATGCACAATTTTCTCATTTGTTTATATTATACTGAATTTGATCTCTAACTCGTAAGGGTTTTCAGTTTCATCCATATTAATTTTGGTACCGCTGATCTGAATTCATTTAGACATTCCTGCTTGTTCCGTGCGTAAGGTAACTGATGACTTTATATCACTTAGCTTCTTAAGGAGATCTGAGCTTTAATTTGATCCCATACCTATAAACAATATGTCTGTAAATCTTTTAACTGAAATCAAATATCATTAAACATACTCTTAACTAACTTACATAAGATTATTTGGTCAATGTGAACAACGAAAAAAAAACGATTAAAGCATATCTAATGTGTCACTCTACTATGATGTTCTTAAGACCAAACAGCTGAAAAGTCGACTAAGTGGCCACATATCTAACTTAGATAATCTAAGAAACAGCTTCCTAATTAATTTGATTTAGTATGTGAACAAAATTTAGTTAACAATTCGGGCATTTGGTCTAGTGGTATGATTCTCGCTTTGGGTGCGAGAGGTCCCGAGTTCGATTCTCGGAATGCCCCATTGAACTTTTTTAAAATAATGTGTGTTCTGAATACCGAGCTCAATTGTATGAGAGACTTGTGTTTTGGTGCAAGTTTTCAAAGATGATCATGTTCAAGACAAAGTCCAACATTTCTACATACCTTGGCTTTTTAAGACTTGCTCGCTCATCTTGATAATGCAAGCAGCAGAGTAATTTAGGGTACAAGAAGTCCAAAGTTTGATTTTGAAGTACCTAGGCCCATCAGCCATAACAATAACTAAAAAGAACACTATTTACGAAGATATTTAAAACTGGACCCAAAATTTAATTATTTTGTAAATTTGAGTCCCAAAAAATTAAATTTCATTAAATAAGGGATCCCCAATAATTTAATTTAAAATTTATAAAGGATCCAAAATTTTGTAAACAAAAAAAATTAAATTTCATTAATAAGGGATCCTCAAAAATGC